ACTATTACCTGAAATGAAGACTATGCTCAATTACCCATACAACAGAAAGGCATACATAAAAGAGGATCTGGCTTTACTTTGCAAACTCACAGCCGTTCATAAAGAGCTTCCAGGAAGAAAACAATAACCATTTCTCCAAACCCTTCACTTTATGTGATTCTGCACATTAAAAAAACAAAACAAAACAAAAAAAAAAACAAAACCCTACTTTTGGTTTTTCTAAGATCTTTTAAGTCATCCATATTTTAACTCAACAGGGCTTACTTATTAGCATCTTTGCACCTTTGTGCCTTTGAAGGAGTAGCATGCCCATTACTAGGACTAAATAAGAGTGAAATGTCTAAGGCCAAAGTATATACTGTTCCTCAATTAAAGACTGAAACTTACTGCAGAGACCTCAGATATACTGGAGGTATGTTGAAAAACAACGGGCTGGCTGATCAAGCTAAGACATCCTGTAATTTCCTTCTTATAGTATGTTGTGCATTTCAAAACTCACTGCATATAAGTTAATCAAATCTGGACACACAAAGTAGCTTTCTGAAAAATGGCTTCATACTCTTAGAAGTGAAAATACTCTATTATTCATGCAAAAGTACTCATAGTTGAAATTCACTTGCAGGATGAAAACTGGTACTACTGAATAAACAAATGGATGAAGAAGGATCAGTCAATAAGCATCTACTGAGCAACTACCAAATGTAAACTTTATGCTAAGTACTGTGCGGGATGTCAAAGAAATAGAAGACTCTTGGCTTGTAGGAGATCATAATCCAGTTTTCATTAAAAAAACAGTCCTAAGAAATATATTGACAAATACAAGTTTAAGAAACATCTTCCCAAGAGTGCTCAGTAAATATGGGGTTGATGGAAGGCACAATGGGGCCCAATCAGTCAGATAAGTATAAGCAATAAAGCAATGATGTTTATTCTATATATTAGTAAATTTTCTATAAACTCACCTGCTGAATATCTAGGCTGGTGATATCCATATGTACAATGAGGGCTTCCACATTTTCCATTAACTTTTTATCTTGGAAGTGAACAATCAAGTCTTTCATTACCTGGGGGGTCATTCCCACCAATTTATCACTTAAAATATATGGTTCAAGGCACTCCAAAAACACGCCTTTGGCCACTGAATTCTCACTTAGTTTGTCATACATCTGGCTAAATAAAAGATCCCTGTAACAGAAAGAAAAAACACACTTTTAGGAATATTCTGAGCAGTCACTAAATTCAGTCTGCTGTTTCTCCTCTTTTTCCTATTTCAACTGACAAGTTTAACAAAAACAGTAACAATACTTGCATAGAGCTTTATACGGTGAAAAACATTTTACATGTGGTATCTTAATGATTTCCGCCAATATTTTTACAACCAAGAAAAGCTGAATAAATTATTTGCAGAAAGTCACATAGCCAACAAGTGATAGAATCAGAATTTGAACTCAGCCTTCTGACCTAAATCCTATGTTGAATCTATTATGGCACACTGTTTCTTAAAGACAATGGTGATATGTCAGTGGGTAGTACAATGAACATGATGAAGTAGAAAAATGAAAAAGGACTATTCCTAGGGACATGTAGCTGGCTCAGTCAGTAGAGCATGTGACTCTTGATCCTGGGGTCATGAGTTTGAGCCCCACATTCAGTGCAGAGATTATTTAAAAAAAAAAAAAAAAGACTATTCCTATTTATCCTTTCCTCTTTCCTGATAGCTAAATATTCCCAACTGATCTCCAGATGCTCTAATATTCTCTCAAAATGATGAGAACAGGTCTTTGAATTTTGTTTTATTTTTACTTTAAAGTAAGGATACCAATAGGAGTTGCTGAGTTTTATTTTTCTTACTTCTTTATTTATAGGCTCTGACTGGTTAAGAAAGAAACATATAGTTTTGCCATTAATCTTACCAGCATTACATGGTAAGATTATTAGCGCACCAAGATGTTTATCTAGTTCTTATCCCTTGCTTCCCAAAGGATTTAGGTAGTGATTATCGATGAAGAGGGAGAAAATGTTCACTATTTAAAAAAAATATGTATCTGGAATCTATCTTATTGCAGAAACAAATTTTTTTAAATTAATCTAAATGCACCACACTCAAAAATTATGTTTTATTTATTTCATATTTCTTCTGCAAATAGTCCGCAAATAATTTTACTGTCAGAGATATAATTCCAAATTCCACTTTCCACAACATTATATAAGAAGCATCATTCTAAGATACTACCTACTCTTTAAATTTACCATTTTGTTTAACTCACAACATTTCACCATACTGAAACAACAGAATTTACTTTTTATTTTTTTTAAAGATTTTATTTATTTATTCATGAGAGACAGAGACAGAGACAGAGAGAGAGAGAGAGAAGCAGAGGGAGAAGCAGGCTCCCAGGGAGCAGGGAGCCTGATGCGGGACTCGATCCCAGGACCCTGGGATCACGACCTGAGCCGAAGGCAGACGCTTAACCATCTGAGCCACCCAGGTGCCCACAACAGAATTTACTTAAGTATTCCTGTAGTGTTGTATATATCACTTACTTCCAGTATTCTACTATCATGAGTAATGTCACAATGAATATCTACATACAGTCTTTCCCATTTGGGGGACTTAGTTCCTTAGTTATTCTACTTTAAGAAATTTATCTTAAGTCAAAAAATATGAAAAATTTTGTGGCATTTGAAATGTATTACTAAATCCTCTTCAAAAAGTATCACAGCACCAATTTACATTGCCACCAGCGATGTAGAATTGTACAGTTTCACCAGACAATTATGTTTGGTTTTTCTACCAGATAATTTAATAAGTGTAAATGAGGGGCACCTGGGTAGCTCAGGTTAAGTGTCTGACTTTGACTCAGGTCATGATCTCAGGATCCTGGGAGCAGGCTCCCTGCTCAGTGGGGAGCCTGCTTCTCCCTCTCCCTCTGCAGCTCCCCCTGCTTGTGCTCTCTCTCTGTGTCAAATAAATAATTTTTTTAAGTATAAATTAAATAATATCACTGTTTTTAATTATCTGATGACTGGCAAAATTAAATGTTTTCCATGTTCCCATTCATACATTGTACTACCTTGTTATCATTCACCCGATTCATTCATTCCCTTTTGTTGTTTAATAAAAAAAAAAACTGTGCTCGGGTACCCGGGTAGCTGAGTCAGTTGAGCGTCCGACTCTCGGATTGTGCTCAGGTCATGGTCTCATGGGTCCTGAGATTGAGTCCCTGTTGGGGCTCTGCACTCAGCAGGGAGTCTGCTTGAAGATTCTCTCCCTCTGCTCCTCCCTTGGCTCGCACGTGTGCGATCCTCTCTCAAATAAATAAATAGTTTAAAAAAAAGAACTGTGCTAATTCCATTTATCTGCTAAGACTATTTTTTACTGAATGTGTTATCTCTTAATATGTGTATCATGTCACTTGTGAAAAGTGGTAGCTGGCTCATCTGCAGGTTTGGTCTTTTGTGACACGTTCCATTAAAAGGTCAAGAAAGATTCTGGAAGGAGCAGGATGGGGTCCTTGCCTCAGCTGAAGTCCTGGAAGGGGACAGATGCTAAGAGAACTGGCTACAAATGCATCAGAACCACATGCCACTTTTCAATAAACAGTATATGCAATATCCTGGGAGGGAAATCCATATCCATTTATTTTTTTCCTCATATCCACAAATGTAATTTTTACCTCAGTTTTCCCCTCTGCTTCGTATTTTTCATGTTAGTTTCATTTTAATCAATAGTCCAACACATTTTTGTGATTACCAATTATTAACCAAGTAAAAGAAACTGAGATTAATGAAACTTTACTGCAACAAAGATAAAGAGTACAAAGTAACTCTAATGAATATAAAGAAAATGCCATATTTGCTAGCCCTTCCACTCTGCCATGTGTTGTTAAAAACAACATGCTAGGGAAGATAATTATATATTTTAGTTCGACACAAAGAGCCCTACGCAGGAAAATTAAAGAGTGAAAAATTCAGTAAACAGAGCATAAAAGGTGACAAACCAGGCAGTCCTGTAACAAACAGCAGCATGTAATGCTGGTAAGATTAATGGCAAAACTGTATGTTTCTTTCTTAACCAGTCAGAGCCTATAAATAAAGAAGTAAGAAAAATAAAACTCAGCAACTCCTATTGGTATCCCTACTTTAAAGTAAAAATTAAACAAAATTCAAAGACATGTTCTGATCATTTTGGGAGAATATTTATTAGAGCATCAAGCAAGAAGGAAGAAAGAAAAGTACATACCAAAAAAAAGTGTTTAGCTCTTGTGTTTCTTTCTGTATTTCAGAATTATACTCGAGGGTGCTGACTTTGTTTCCTGAAGTCCTAACTTTAAAACTGCTGTTTATCGCTTCAAACTTAGCCACCCTGTAGCCAGTATAATACAAAGTCCATTCTGAGTAACAGAAAGCCAAAGAGGTCTTCTTTCTACATAACATCACTTTACATTAATATGAGTATATTAAAGACATTATTTGGGGTTTACCATTCTTAACTTCAAACTGATAGAGAAAATGGCCAAATTCACTTTGCGCATTATCAATTTTGCAATTTTAAGCATGTGAAGAACTCAGCTTTGATTATCAGTACAAAGCCAGACTGTCAGAAGGGGAGCAAGAGCCTCAGTCCTTAATACCTGCCAGTCTTTACTACGGATATAACTGGAGCCAAATAAATAAATCCCCTGTAAATGTACGCAGGACTCAATAAATTCAAAGTTGATTTGGGCTGCTCTCCTTATTTACAAAAGTAATGGCAAAGTTCAAATGAACTATAAGAAATGATGTTCAAACTGCTCTATTTTCTGATATAAGTATCACAGTTTGTGAAGATTTCCTTTAAAAAAGGCATGGCTTAATTCTACTAATGGTTGTACAACTCTATGAATATACTAAAAACTACTGAACTGTACACTTTAAAAAGGGTGAATTTTATGGTATCTGAAATTATATTTCAATACAGCTGTTATAAAATAAAGGCATGGCATCTTTTTCCCCTAGCTTTGATGTTTAAAATATTAACATGCAGTTATCAAGAAAACAGTATCTAAAACATCCAATTTCTCAACCATGCTTGATAATTACGACCTTTCTGTTTCTCAAACAATAATACTGACGTTGAACAAGAATGAACAAACACCCTATCAAAAGACCACTTCAGATTCACTTTAGATCTAACAGAAATATTTCTGGTTCAGATTTATATATAATTCAAGTCATCTGAATGATGGCTTCTTTTTTGGGTATCTGCTTACAGTGATAAAAGCTCAAGATCATCTACACACAGCACCTATTTTGTCTTATAATGGCTTTATTGAGATATAATTCACATACAGAAACACAGAACCTATTTTTAAACAATGTTCAAAATTATGATTATAGTTCAAATAAACGCTGGACCTATTTTCAAAATAGACTGAAATTATGCCTACCGTTTTATAGGCAAAATGACAAATCATCAAATGTCCTACATAGGGGCGCCTGGGTGGCTCAGTCGTTAAGCGTCTGCCTTCAGCTCAGGTCATGATCCCAGGGTCCTGGGTTCAAGCCCCACATCGGGCTCCCTGCTCCGCGGGAAGCCTGCTTCTCCCTCTCCCACTCCCCCTGCTTGTGTTCCCTCTCTCGCTGTGTCTCTCTCTGTCAAACAAATAAATAAAATCTTCAAAAGAAAAAAATGTCCTACATAAAGCTTAAGATGTATCTTTTGTCTAATACTAAAAAGAAAATATCCACTACCAAATTGAAAGTAAACTGTGAAAGAAATCAAATTATGAAAATAAAAGTACAAGTCTTCAAAAACAGAATTTCCTGTCACTTCTGATTTTAAACAATTCACAAAAAGACTATAAAGCCAATTTTAACTAAAAAAGATGCCTGTAACATACAGGTCAGTATGCCCTAAAGAGGAAAAAAAAAAGGTGGTTCCTGCCACAGTAAAAGGATTTTACACTATAAAAGAATTCTTAAGTATAAATGGGAATACATATATACACTAGTTCAATTACTATTACTGCTGGATATGGGATTCTATGAATTATTACTGAAGTAACAATGATCATAGTGCACCGGTTGTGGTACTCAGTTAAAATCAGTTCAGAATACGTATTGTGTTTATAACTGGACTTACATAAGAAACAGTGTGTGAAAAGGGGTGACTATAAAAACAATGTACTCTATCAGAAGCTATTAAGATAAAAAGCATTAGGGGGCCAGGATTGAGTGTCTAAGTGATGACCCTAGAAGTGGAGGAAATTACCTGAAATTAGCTGAGTACTAGATTATGTTTTGTAAAATTATTTGTGTTATGCACAATCTAAGCTTTTTTTTAAAGATTATTTATTTATTTGAGAGAGAACAAGAAAATGAGCAAGCATGAGGGGGAGGGGCAAAGGGAGAGAGAGAAGCAGATTCCCTGCTGTCTGAGCAGGCAGCCTGATGGGGAGCTCGATCCCAGGACCCTGAGATCATGACCTGAGCTGAAGCTGTGCAAATGCTTAACTGACTGAGCCACCCAGGTGCCCCCAATCTAAGCATTCTTTAAAGTATTCTTAATGGCTCAGATATTTCAAAAATTAGGGAATGTGGAAGAGAAGACCCTCCACATTAAATGGAACGAAATGTCAAAGAAGATGGCATAAAGAGAGGGTCCAGCTTAGGAAGAAAGATACCATACTGGATTGAAGATACATACATTTTAATCCTCCACTTCAATTTATCCTAGGGAATTGAGCACTTTTAACCTGATGGTCTATGGCAACTCTAAGAAAAAATGCTAAAAACTCTACCATTTGAGAATGAGTACACTGAACTACTTACTATTTAAAGTATATATAGAGTTTTCATATCTAATCTATCTTTAATCATTGCATGTCTGGAATGGAAGGAGACCGAAAGATGACCTAGACACAAAGAACTGAGGTTGATCAACTGGCCTATTTGACCCCATATATGGGATCTTTCTGATGAAAAAGAAAAGCCAGGATGGTGAGAACTAAGCAAGCATAAAAGTACACAGTCTAGAACACAAAAGGTAACATTTGACCCAATAACTAGTATCGCATTTCTTACATTGCTGGGAATGCTGCCCTGTCTGTTCTGCCCTTACTAGAATCTTCAGAGCAGAAAAAGTGGGGGAAAGAGAGTTAAGAATACACATGCTGGACCACTCCTAAGCAGAAGCAGGTTCTAGTACAATCCGGTCCTCAGCGTTTGAGGGTTTTTTTGTTTTGTTTTGTTTTTTAATTCATTTGAGAGAGAGAGAGAGAGTATGAACAGGGTGGAGGGGGAGGGGGAGAGGGAGAGGCAGGCTCCCTGCTGAGCAGGGAGCCCAACTCAGGGCTCGATCCCAGGCCCCTGAGATCATGACCTGAGCCGAAGGCAGACGCTTAACCGACTGAGCCACCCAGACGCCCCGACCTTCAGCCTTTGAAAATGGAATCCAGAGAGAAGGAAGTCATACTATTTACAGTACGGTCCCAGGAAAATATCCCGGTCCCTGGATCTAGGCATGTATGAGTGTATCTAGTGTATCTAGCATGGATGAGTGGGGGGAAGGAGAGCCAGAGAGGGAAGAGCTGGGAAAACGACCCTTGAGATCTTCCTTCCCTTTGGAAGTGAGGTATATACGATAACGGCTGGTATTTCTCTCTGAGATCTCCAACAACAAATACTGCATTTGTTTCTGACACAGCCCAGAAGAGAACATGCTAAGGAGTGAGGGAAATTTAATGGAAAGAAAGAAGTTGGTAAAAGCAAAAAATAGTAAATAGATCCTAATTTGGTAAAAATCTAGACCAGATCTTACCTTCTAGGTTATAGGCTATGATTTAATGAAGTAATTATTGCATTCTCAGCCAGTCCATAGATTACATAAAGTTGGAAATATTTCTTTTTCAAATCATATAAAAAAGTTTCTTTCAGAAAATTTTGGAAATAAATATTTCTGAAAGAACAAACCTATTTTTTCATTTTCCCTATATAATCCTTCATCTTACAACTACTAGGACCATTTTAACTTTACATCACTGTGAGAGTAGTATTCACATATTCAAGATAAGTCACCCTGCAAACCAAGTGGCAGAATTATTTCATTAATTCAGCGCTCAGGTACTGGATAACTACTTTGTGCCAGGTACCATTCTAGGTGGAAATAATCCATTTTACAAAGATATGCCTTCTTACTCTAAACAAAATTCAGTCTTAGGTACTTTATCTCATAATTATGTCAACTTGAAGATTTGGGTTGATCCCAGTACTTATTAGAATTAGGAACATCTCTACATTTCAAATTCCTCATCTGAAAATGAGAAAAACATTACACTGCAGTTATGAGGATTAAATAAAATATGTAAAACTGATCCATAAACTATTGAGCTGCTTTAAAAAATAAAGATAAATAAAAGTAAGGGAGTATGAAAAGTGGGGTAAAGAGAAAACCAAGTTACAAAAAGCTACCATGGCTCTTAGCTTTCTAGGAAAGTTAATTAGCAATACAATTCACTGCCCATTAGCTAAAAGTGAACTAGCTGTTCAGGAGACGCAAACATATTTCTGGCAGGAGACCTGAGGGAAATTTTTCCCTTCCCTTAGGCCCTCATAGAGGAGAAAATGAGTAACATAAAGCAATGTTTTCACCAATATCCCAACCATGAACACAACATACTCCACTGGATAGTAACATATAACACTATAGCTGAAACATTAGAATGGACTTAGCAGAAACTATAGCTCTTCATGACTTAATGGTCTGACACAGCAAATAACTGCCCTCTTGATAACATTCATATACATTCATACTTTCAAAGTATGATCCAATGTTTTATGATTCAGGCTACCTGAACATAAATTCATGAGTCAGGTCAGTGCTGTACAGGGTTTTAGGAGTATCTGCACTGGATCCTCACAGTTGTCTACCACTCAGAAACAAACTAGTGGCTAAGAGCAAGAACTCAGGAGCCAGACTGCCTGTACTGGAATCCCATCTTTGCTCCTCAAAAGAAGTGTGAGTTAGCTTTGGCCAAGTTCTTTAATGGTTTTCTGCCTCTGGAACCGCCTATGTAAAATGAAGAGGATGGGGCACCTGGGTGGCTCAGTTGGTTAAGCGACTGCCTTCGGCTTAGGTCATGATCCTGGAGTCCCAGGATCGAGTCCCGCATCGGGCTCCCTGCTCGGCAAGGGGCCTGCTTCTCCCTCTGACCCTCTTTCCCTCTCGTGCTTTCTATCTCTCATTCTCTCTCTCTCAAATAAATAAATACAATCTTTAAAAAAAAATAAAATAAAATGAAGAGGATAATACCACCTACCTGTTATAAAAATTAGATAAATTAATGTAAAGGGCCTACAGCAATACCTAGCAAGAGAGGAGTTATTATTTTAAGTTGAAAAAACTATGAACTAGCAAAGGTTGGTTAATTTATACAGTTACTATTTAAACCAACAAAGCCAAATCAAGAGTGTATTTACACTGATATCTTTTCAACAAAAGGCTCTAAAAACCACCAACAGAAGCACTCTGAATTTTACCCTTTTTTGGGTGGTGTGTAAAATTGTTTTAGTAATAGTTCATAAAAGAGGATATATCTACAGGACATGAATCATACACTTTTACTTTTAAGATCTCTCAGTAGGACAGCTCTTTTGTTAGCTATGTTTGCCTCCACTATCTGGCCACACAAACATACAGATGATACACCCACAACATCTATTTTGGAAAAGTTAGCTTCACTAGGTAAATGGACTGGAAATTGTTAATCGAATTTCTGTAAATTACACTTTCTTAAAAAAAATACCCAAATTCATAGACTTCATATCAGTAAATTATAATATTAACAAGAGGCAATCTGGGTTCAAAATAATTGAATCTGACAGGCACTGTATACTTACTTTCGCTCCAACAGCAGGCAGTAATCAACGATGACAGGTACCATGTCCTGAAGAAAAACCATAAAGAAACTATCAGCACCACACCTCTGTCCCATGGACCCCTGGTTTGACATAAAGTGGTCTGCTTAAGACACTGGTAAATTGTTGGGAGAATATAACTTTATACCATGCTTTTGGTAAGTAATTTGGCACTATGTGTCAATAATCTTAAAAATGTGAAAAGACTTTTACCCAGTAATTCTATCTGGAAATTTATCTTAAATACATTTAAGAAAAAAAAAATGTTTAATGCATTAAGGTATTCACTGCAGATCTATAACAGAAGTAGCCGGAGAAGAGGGAGGAGAGGAAGAAACTGGAATTAAATACACAACATGGCAAAGTCATTAAGTAAATTTGCTGTTTAAATAAAATATTATGTAGATATTACGAATTTACAAAGAGTTCACAACAACAAACTTTAGATGAAAACTATGTATTTATCTCACAACCTTAATAAAGAAAATTTGCAAAGAAAAAATATGAATACATCAGATTGATAATAGAATACAGCTGGTCCTGTTGGTGGCTCAGGTGATTAAAGTTGTCCATATTTTGTCACAATCCTCCAAACCAGCTATTTTAAGGTTGATTTAACTTCTCAGTTTCATAACATTTTGATTGCTTTAAATTCATCTTGTACAGACTTGTATCAAGTGAATGACAACCCATAATTTTGGCCTTTTTCAAGAGAAACAGTTTGAGGGAGGAACAGAAGCTTATTATTCCTGGAAATTGTCAAGTAACCAAGCACTAGATTTCAGTAGTACTCTTTCATTTTCTGCTGGCTGCAGGGAAATGGTTTCCTTCAAAAAAAGAAAAAAAAATCCTAGAGGGCCTAAGTTCTAGGCAGAAAAAATCCCACCAGGGGAGAAGACACTATGTGAAGAAGGGAATACTACATGCTAACACTTGTTTGGCAAAACAAAACCGAGGAACCCTTTCTATTTGAGAGAGGTATCAGAAGGACCTACAATCCTGAAAAGATTCCGTTTTGCTTCCTTTAGTCATCAATATTCCTTACAACAGGATTTAAAATCTTATTTAGATTCTTCAAAAACAGGAACTAAAATAATTTTAAAGTGTCAGATCATGTGAAAAATGTGAAAAGTGTTAGAGCTACAGCAAGTGTCAACCCTGTATGAGAATACAGTGGGCCAGATAATCTGGAGGGGAAAAAAAATCTCCCTAGAAATGCTGGGGGAAAATTTAATAAACATTCCTTACAATACACAGCTGAGTTTCTAAGAAAGTAAGGGCAATACGAGTCTAAAAATGAAAAGGGAACTGAAAACCAAAGCAATAAGCCCTAAGCTGTCACTAAGACTGTCTTATAGATTTGTTGGTCACATTAAGAGCTTGGGTTTTAATGTCAGAAAGAAGCTGAGACCTTAGACCCTTGCAACATAAGAGACTGAAGCAAAGATCTTCCTAAAACCAGGATTCTTGAAAAGCTACATCCTTAGTGAAAGGAAAAGAGGGAGGGAAATCTGCCTATAAGCACAGGAAGATGACAAGAAAGATCATCTGTCTCAGCCTGGACTCAGTGGGGGTAAATTTGTACTCTGTAAGAATCTATAACCAATATCCTGCTTGTAGGTGGATTTGAGATTTGAATTTACACTATCTCCTTAGGATAGGAAAAATCAAGCCAAGAAATTAACATAAAAGATGATTCTGAAAAAGGATACTCTGGGGCACTTGAAAAAAGCAAATTCAAAATTTCTCTGGAGACAGTACTTAACACAGGCAAAGTAAGTTCGACTGATGTTCAAAACAAAAAATTTTAAAGCACCACATGAAATAATTCACCACGAGTAAACAGCAACAGAAACTATAAATAGCAGAGGTAGACTCCTAAAACTTTAAGTATGAGAAACTATTAAATATATTTAAAATTATTAAATGCAAAAATTAAAGAAGTGCTTGGCCTAGTACTAAGTACTAAGGATACACTTACTAGAGAGATTAATGGAGAGTGAAATCATCAGATTCATACACTGAGCACAGATCACTCAAGTGATTTTATGATGGGAGGACCTGGAAAACCAAGACTGAAGGTAGAAGGCTATTACACAGCAGTCAAAGTGAAATGGGGACTAAACTAGGGTTGTGATGGTAGACCTAAAAAACAGCAGACAGAATTAGGAGATATTTATAAAGTAAAACTGGAGCTTGGTGACAGATTGGTTGTGGGCTGGACGGTATAGGAAGGAGTCTATGATAACTCCTAAGTTTCTAGCTTAAGTGACGGCTGAGTGAAGTGAAGATGTCACAAAATGAGATAAGGATTGTAGGTAGAAGTGTTAGAAGAAAGAAGCTAAGTGCAGTTTGGACTATGGCAGATTTTAGGAACATCTTTATTTTGATGTTGAATAATAAGAAATTCAGTAATCTAAAACATCAGGGTTACAATTATAGATTTCTAGGGGTGCCTGGCTGGCTCTGTCAGCAGAGAGTGCAACTCTTGATCTTGGGGTTGTGAGTTCGAGCCCCATGCTGAGGGCAGAGATTACTTAAAAAAAAAAAATTATAGATTTCTAAGTCATGAGAGGAAACAATGTATATGAATAAACTTGTCCCGGGATAATAGATAGAGCTAGAAACCAGTGGACAAAGAACTAAATTCTAAGAATAGTTATAATATGGTCAGATGATAGAAACAAAATCCAACTCAAGAACTATCATAAAGGTATAAAAATCAGAAGGGCACAGTCACAGATAGCTAAAGCATACAGAACTTCAAAAAGGAAAGGTGATTGATCATCACTGTTTAACACAGCACTAGGATGGATAAGATCTGAAAAGTGTTTATTGGATTTAGAAATTTGGATATCATTGGTATCTTTAATAAGAGGATGTTTTATCTTCCTAATTAAACAGTAAGTACAGTGATGGGTGACATCCAGCCTGCAGACAAATGAGTAATGAATGAAGTATTTGGTGGTGTGTAAGAAGGGAGGGAGAGAAACAGGAGGAAGGAGGAGGGGGAAGGAGAGAAGGCAAGGGAGGAAGAGGGAGGAAATGAAAGAGAAAATGTCAATATATGTATAACTGGAATCCCTGAATAAGAAAACTCCAGCAGTGCAATAGAACAAACAGTTCAAAATACGATTCAAGAAAACTTTCCTGAAAGTAAAAAAAAAAGAGAGAGAGAGCGCGCGCACAAGACAGACTTAAATTTAGATACTGAAAGAACACATCATATGCTAGGGAAAAAATGGCATAGAATGGTTACACCAAGGCCCAGTGCAGTCAAGTTCTGGATTCCAACAAGAAACAGCCAGAAGAAATGATCAGTTAATTATGGGGGGGGGGGGGGGGGGGGGAACGGCTGCCTAGGCTAGGATTTCCCCCACAGTGATATTCAATGCCAGAATGTCATAGAGCAGTATCTTCAAGATCCTTAAGAAAAGCCAAAATGTTTTTCAAAATAAAAACTAGAGTCCAACAATTTGAAAATGTAACAACTGGAAAGACTATTGTTTTCCTGAACCTTTCTTCCTGAAACAGCTTCAGCAACCAAGAAATGGCCAGGGAGACCACAGCAAAAACCCTGGTGATAAGCATGAACTACATTTAATGGCAAAAGTAAAACAGACTGATATCCTCTGATGATGAGTAAAAGATTTATATTAAGACAAACAGGGAGGAGAAAGTAAAGGTGGAGGTAGAAAAGATTCATTGGCTTCATCTGTAAGGTGGTAGTCAAAAGATAACCTTTAAATCTCACAATTAAAATTGGAATTAAAAGCCTGTTTTAACAGGATAAAAGCAAATACTGAGATAATGGTTAAAATGTGGTAATGAAGGAGGGGTTGAGGTGAAAGGAAAAAGAAAATACAATGCTAATTTTTATCACTGCAAGGAACAATGCCCAAAGAAATAGAGGATCAAGGGAACTATACCTTTAGCTATAATCCTAAAGGTAATCATTGGAATTAAATACACATTCCCAAATATCAGAAGTACATGCACAAATAAAAACAGAGTAAGTGGTGAAAGGCTTCCTTAAAAAAAGAAAAACAAAATACATTTGGTTTACCTCACTTAGGATTTTCAGAATAAAATCTGAAAAAAGCAAAAAATCTGAAATCTCAAAAAAGCAAACCCCCAGTTCTATGTAGTAAACAAATACAAATACACAGTGATCCAGAAAGATTGAAAATAAAAGGATAGGCAAAAGTATACCATGCAAAGAAAAATCAAAGATGTGCTATTTCTGTCAGATAAAGTAAAATTCAGGCTAAAAAGGGCAATTATATGAATAAATAAATCATGATGAAGATAAACTTACTTCTATAAGCTAAATTACTCTACAGTACATACTAAATTATACAATGCTAACGTTCATAAAGCACAAGATGGAAGGAGAAACAGAGAAAAGAGCACAATCCAAAAGGCACTTTATTTCTCACTGTCCATGAGAAATCAGGTGGAAAACAATGAGTAAGGATTTAAAAGGTCTATAAAAAATCTGATTGATAATGAACTATTCTCTGTGAAAACACACAAAGCACTGTATTTCAAATGCTCATTGAATACTAATGAAAACTGACCATATCCTGGGCCACAAAGAAAATCCAAATAAACTCCAAAAGGTAGCATTAGTACACACATTATCTGATCATGATACAATAAAACCTATCAGAAAATAAGGTGCTTTATCCACTTAAAAATAAACTTTCTCTAAAACTCTTCAAAGAAAGAATACCAAGTTGAAGATTATATACAAAATAATGAAAATGATACATATTGAATTGATAGCCTTAAATAAATCTGTAAATTGATATTTTTAGAACACTCCATCCAACAGCATCAAAATATACATTTTTTTCTTAAGTACACAGAACATTTACTAAGATAGATGATGTATTTTAGGCCATAAAACAAGTTTCAAATTTAAAAAGATTCAAGTCATACAAAGTATGTTCTCTGACACAATGGAATTAAATTAGAAATTAATCAAATAAAGATGACATCACTATAGATTCTCCAGACATACAAA